ATATATATGTGTGTGTGCATGCGTGCGTGCGTGCATTAAATGCTGTGTATTAAATGCTTGCGGTACACCACACAGATAGTTCTGAAAAGAACTATTGTCTTTTTTTTGGGTCGATAATGTTTCAGCATTTCGAATGAGTTGCTTCAATCATTATCAGGAGAAAAATGTGTGTACAGAGTTCCAACAGGAAAATACTTACATGATTAGAAAGTGAGACTTGCTGCTCCAACAGTCTTGCTTTCCTTATTTAGAATCTCTGCAGATGATAACGATAACGATAACTGATAACGATGCAAGCAACTCAATCAAAACAATCTCAAAAAGGAAAAAATGAAATTCTTTTGAGACCCATTTGCAAAATGGGCTTATGCACATTAATGTTCAGTACATTCTTTGAGAAAAGAGTACGAGATTATTTTCTGGTGGATTGCCTAATCACCACCAGAAGCTTTGCCACAGGAAATAAGTTTTCAGTTGTCCTTGGTGTCCAACTGTTATATCATATAATGCATGTTGCCTTTGCATTTGTGGATGGACATACAGCATGATGGTTTCTATTATATTTAGTATAATTTAACTGGCATAACTTTCCGGTTCTTATAGGTGAGAGGAGACTGTCCCACAAGGCTTTGCAGGGAGCCATGATGATTTCCTTGTACCGTCATGAAATCCGCTTCAGTCAGCCATTCCAGTTCTTGCACCTCCTCATGGATCTAGACAAGCTACTTATGAACTGGAGAGGTAAGACCTTGGGCGGATTGCTATGAAACGGTCTTAACTCCTCGAATAAGCTGGCTTTATCACTTTGGTCTTACTAAAGTCAATGTGCTAAGACCATTGCTATAAAATGGTCTTCGCCTCTTTGAAATTTGAAATGCAAACAAGCACTCCCTGGTAGCATAAAATTGAGGGTGCTGTTACGCTTGCTCAAAACTTGCATATTTATCAAAATGAACGTAACTAAACATAGACCAGTTTTTCACAGACGCTGAGAAGCAGAATATTTGTCGATTCTTAGTCTTTGACGATCTAGGTCTAGTACCTGTAACGCCATGATGAAAATGATTTAAGACCGCTAGCAGGGGTCGGGGTCCAGAAGACATCCCAAACCCCTATTGGGGAAGAAGGCATTCATATTGACATGAAACACTGTTTAGAAAAAGGCATTTACAGTCTGTAAGTGCCATTTTGGGGCATCTAGAGATATGCATTATTAAAATTTGCTCCAAACATGGTGTGGGTATAGCAACGATTTGGGCTGAAATGAACCATAATATTGGGATACCCTTTACTCTTCTAAAAAGTGCAATAGATTCTTTAATGTGTACATTGAACCGGTTTGAAGTCCTTATCCGAAAAAACTTGGTTCCACCAACTGACACCCCCCCCCCCCAGTCTCTCAGTTCAACATTGATGTTAAGGCTTTAGTTAAGCCCACCTCTGGCTTACATCTTGGCCACTCAACTAGCAAATAGATAGTATAATAGATTTTCATTAGTTCCGCTCTGCTTCAGCAGTGGCGTCACAATATTCACAGGTCGTCATCGTCCACTTTCTAACCAGTGAGCTGAGGTGGGTGTGGTCCTTTTCTAAGCCTGAAAATGGCTCTCTTAGGCCAACAGTTAATGGCTTAGAAAATGTTTCTAATTAATTTTTCCACACAGATTTTACTGCTACTCTCTGGCAGCTGGGCAGCTGTCCCGTTCAATGACCCAACCCCTTGCTCTGCTGTTAGCTTTCTTAACTATGTGTGTTACAAAAAATGAGAATACATTCTGATGTTGATAATTTTTTTCCCTCAACAGCCAGCCATGCTCAAATGGTTCAGCGCATGATTGGCTCAAAACTTGGAACTGGGGGTTCCTCTGGATATCAGTACCTCAGATCAACCGTCAGGTATTCAGAATTTCTTATGATTCCTATTTCTTATTTCCTATTATATGATTTCTCTCATTGATAATAAATTAAACTAAGTATATTTTCCCAAGCCTATTAGTAAATGACAGAGGATGCATAGGTAAACTTAGTAATTCCAAGATACACCTTGAGTGATCTAAAATGCTTGGGGATTATTTGTATTGTAATTATTATTGAAGTGCATTTAAACCATCTGAATAAGAAAGAGTTAGAGGACTTATGAATATGCAAATTTTTGCCATAATAATTGCAGGTACTAACTGGAAGACCTAAATAAGGCATTGAAATCCTGAAAAGAACTTAAAAACAAGTAGACATTCAGTCTACTGACATCTACATAATGTGGTATTTAGACTTTAAAGCCTGTCTCTGAAGGAAAACAATTTGATATGTAGTACAACTGATGTTTCTAAGACACAAATAGGTTGTTTGTTTTGATGAAATACTCAAGAACTGTTAGATACAGATTTTTGAATATTTAAAAATTGGAGAAAAAGGTGCAAAAAAGAGTTAAGCCCCCCTTTTCCCAGTTTTTTTAATATTAAAAAATTTCTATCTCAATAACCATCGATTACCCTTTTTGAGTCTTATAAAATTCAGTTGGGAGCCTAGATTTAACAAACACAGAAATGGAGAAAATATTCTGGACATTTGTATGAAAATCATCTTTAATTTTATCTAATGTGTTACTTTAATTATTTAGAAATTATATGACCCAACTTCTATTGTCTTTTTTTATTATATTTCTGTTATATAGTGATCGCTATAAGGTTTTTCTTGATCTGTACAACCTGTCCTCATTCCTTGTGCCTAAAGAGTATATACCACCCTTAACTGATACGATGCAACGCCGCCTGTCAATGACGGTTCTATCGAGCAGTCTTACCGTACACGAAACCAGTTTAAACAACAGCGAGACAAATGTCCGGTCCGGTCTCTTGAATGTTTAGCGTAGCTATTCTGTGACGGTAAATTCTAACAGTCACTATGACAAAGAGCTCAGGCATTGAATCAATTATGCGGGCTTTTATTAATGGTCACATGATCTTATGGGATTGTTACTTGAATGTTGTTATGTAGCCAAACAGCTTCAAGGTGATCATGAATATTTTATATTATTAAATTTATTTATTTATTTATTTCGGTATAAAATATATACATCCATGACTGGCAGGTAAAAACTGAATTGGCACGGTTACAAAAAGTGTATACAAAAAGTGACTAAAAAACGAAAAGTTCTTTTCAGATACATGAGTACGTAATCTTTAAAATGAAGGGTCATTCGTTGATATTGGTCATTTAAAGTTTTTTTGGTGTTAGGGAGTAAAAGTTCAGCATTTTTAGAGTTAACATAAACATGATTTTGAGTATATAATAATTACCATCCAATTTATTCATGCACACATTTTTTAACAGTAATTAACTACCAAAAAATTGCAAAATAACTCATTTCCAGAACTAAAACTTTGTGACACAATTAATTTGATGTTAAACTGTTGCCCTGACATGTCCTGACATGCCTCAAATGCCTACTGAATGCTCCAAGGTATTTTCACACAATCAAATTTTTTGTGACAAATTTGTGTGATGTCATCACATATGGGCATGGTGATGTCATATTACAGTACAGTACACCCAAATATGGGCATATTGCAGGTATTTGTAACATAAAATTTGATTGTGTGGACAAATCATAATGCTTTCACCTATCAAAATTTATGTGACAAATGTGTGTGATGTGCTCATATATTGGCTTGATGATGTCATATTATACCCAAATATGGACATATCACAGTTGTCTGTCACATCTGTGATAGTGTTGACAAAGATTTAGTCATGGTTCTGTTTTGAATCCTCCCAGGCTGTGATTTGTTCTAACAACTGTAAGTAGCTCCTGATAGTGAGCCTTACAGTAGTTTATAAAGTATTGCTTCCTTCCTGTGTAAGCGGTAATCCAGCTAGTGGCATAAGAGTTCTGATCTGTCTCTGGTTAAACCCAGGGCCTAGACCTTTTAGGGGCCTTTTATTGGGAAGAACATGTAAAAAACATCTAAATACACACTTAAAATATCAAAATGCTGAAGCAGGTGTTAGCCTTGTTCCACACTTGGCTCTGCTTGGACCCAGCCTCCAGGGTAACGGGGCTCTAAACAGCCCGGGGTCCCAGGTCTCTTTGTTACGTATGAGAATTAAAACAAAATAAATAGCGCCTTATATAGTGACCTAATTCTCTGACCGGATTATCAAATTTTCACTTGTATGTCTATATATGGTCATGATGTGATGTTATCATGACCATATTTAGGCATGTCACATGTGTTTGTCAAATGATAATCAGTTGAACAAATATGCAAATGTGAAGTCATGCTTTGCACATTGATTTTCAATGTTTTATTAAGTTTTATTTTTAAAATAATGTTTTTGTACACTTTTTATTTTTATTTATATATTTATATGGAGATTAGATAATGTGAATTTTGATTATTAATTTCTGTTATTCATGTAGTTAAATATATATATCTTGCCTATGAATAAGTCTGGTGTGTACATTTTGTGGAATGTTACTTTTTTACTGTGGTGTGTAGCAGGCACGAATCCAGTAGTGGGGTGCGGGGGATCATGCCCCAGTTTTGCACAATAAATTAAAAATGTTATTGCATATTAATGTTACGTGCTACTCACTTATCTATTCTGAAACTTGTGCACTCCTGTTTGACAAATTCTGGATCCGCCCCTGTGTAGATGTTTTATAGGGTGTGTTGTGAATTGTAATGCAAAATATAACTCTAAAATGTAATTAAAAAACATGATCAATGATACGTAGTTACTGTACATCTAAAGCTTTGGCCACACTGTAAAATTATCTTTGACAAAATACTGGTGTACGCCCATATATAGTCATGATGTGCCTATATATGGTCATGATGTGATGTCATCATGGTGTATGCCCATATATAGTCATGATGTGCCTATATATGGTTATGAATAAAAGGACTATAAGCCAAGATTCTTTTGTATAGGCCTACCTTGTTTAGCGGACCTGATTTGGAATAAAAATAAAATGTTATTTTTGGCCAATTAACGCTAATTATGCCGGTCGCTGCCTTAAAATCTCCAAAAATAAGATCTGTATATTTTTTTTCTTATATAAATTTAAAGCATTTAACCATAACATTACTACACTGTTTCATTTCATAGTATTTATTTTGTTCTTCTCCTGGATGTTTTTGGTAAAAACCATTGCTAAATAAGAAAACAAAATTTATTTTTTATTTTTGTTTCCACCCTCCTTTGTCGATCATTAAAAAAATAAGATTGAGAAACAAGGAATAAAAAAAGTCTCGCCTAAAAGAGGTAAGTAATAGTGACTGAGATTTGGAAAAGGATGTGGGGATTTTAAATTTCAAGCAAGGTCATGAACTTTAATCCATTTTCGTGTGCCATATTTAGTCATTGCATTGCAGTTAGTTAAGCATTATCATTTGAATCACATGGTGTGTACTCTAATAGCAAATGTTGTGGTCAGTGGCGTATCTAGAAGTCTTGAAATGGAGGGGCTGATGGGGGGGGCTCGTGGATCAGTTGAGGGGCGCTATTCGCAAAATATGGTGATTTTTAACTACTTGACCATGATTTTCAGGAGCGATTGGGGGGGGGGGTGTGCGGCCCCGTGCCCTCCCCTAGATACACCACTAGTTGTGAATGAGTCTGATATGGCTATGGTTCCTAATTAAAATGCCCAATATTTTCCAATTATTTGCCTCTGTTGTATATATACAACAGAGCGAAGTCTATTCCTAAAGTGCTCTTAAATTACTGGAACAGTTCATACTCTTCATACAGTGGAATGATTGTGTTTTAATATAGCAAATTCCAAAATATGAACCGTGTATAATATTGTATTGTAAATTGATCGTTTTGAAGGTCTTTTAAATGTATGATAAGTAGCCTCAATATTGAATAGTATATATTTTTTCAGTTCAAGAATGGACGTTTCTGTTGAGCCCATGTGAGCCCCATCTTCTTGGATATTGCCACAAGGTCCCACAATACAATATCATAACTGTATGTAATGTATGTGCATTTGTGGGGACAACGCATGTGTAAGTTAGACGTGCATGTGTTGCTGTTCTGATTGGTCAGTTAAGCTTGATGGACACACTGTAAATGCTCATGTTTATATTTGTATCCTCGTCATTTTCCATACATGACTCTATTTTGATAGAAAACAAAACAGCTTTCACCAACATGCAGGTAATTTCATTTGTATCCAATTATTTACAGTGTTTAATACACACAAGCAAAGGATTTATGTGTTTCTTTATTATTTTGACATTGCAAGTACATGTATTATATGTAGTATACATATTTAGAACATGCTTGTCTTTTTAACAGTGGCTTATCTATGGGTGTTCGTCGGCGTGTTGATGAGGGAGGGGGACCTAAAAAAGACGCCCCCTTTTTTCTGAATTGAAAATTTAAGAAAAAAAAAATTATGCAAAAATCATTCACCCATTCACCTTTGCACACCTATCATCCCCTTCCCCCATTTAAAGATTCCTTGATTTTAAACTTTAGTTGTTAGAAACTATCCTTCTGAAAGTAGGATAGGTGATACCAAACCTAAAGAATTTATTTTTGTTATTTCTGATTCTCAATTTTATCATTGATATTATGTTATAATATAATAGTTGTACGTCGTGCAAAAATGTTATAAACAAGTACAGAGTAATAAAAATGCAATTAGTGGAAACAATGTTTTTTTTACATGAAATGTATGTACCTTTCCAGTTTTTAGTTGCCTAAAATAAAGTATAATGTTAGTAATTGAGTCACTGTTTGTCTTGTCAGCTTATCAACTCTCATCCCATAGAATAAAAAGAATATGCTTCAATCACACCGACTACAATAACCAGATCAACAAACAAATTTATCTTGTTCCAATAAGGAGAAATATTCATTCTGTTGAATCAAAGTAATTATTTCTCCTAAATTACAATAACCAGCCTTCTCATCTCAAAATTGTGGATATCCCCTTACAATTCGATTCGAAGCCCAAATTGCTGAAGCCTCTTCTGATCTATAATCTCCCTCCCCCAACCCCGAACAACCAGTGCTTCAAGCCTCGTGACGTCACTTCACGAGGTAACCAATCGGCATTGGTGGTTTTAGCATGGCGGCAATGTGAAAACTGCAGGTCCTATAGGAAGTTGATGTTTTCGTAAAATCCCACTTTTTGTACGGCCTAACATCATGATATGGTGTGTCAAATATATAAAGGATCTACAGTTTGAATTTGGTTAAGGTAGGAGCTTATACCATGGCATACTATTCTAACAATTTTAGGCTTAGGTCTAGGCCTAGGCCTAGTTCTATTGTTTCAGTCTCAGTAAATCGGGACTCTTAGTAGGCCTGGGCTAGGCTTGCTACCTGTACTGTAGAATAAAGGCCTGGGCCTAGAGTAGTTCCCTCTGGTCATCTCAAAATGATTCTAGGTGATAAATGATATATGTTGCATCAACTTATTCATGGCTGTCAGGGCCATATACGATATAATAAGTATCTTGTGTAAGCCTTTTTGGCCCTTATATTTCATCCGTGTCCTGGAATACACTGATGAAATATTTATAGTAAGTACATTTAACATCGTAAATTATATTATTATTCAATTAAGGGCCAAGATGGCTTACACGAGATACTTCAATAATGATAATATACTATAAATCATGTTATATCATGAAACTTCAATCTGATAGCATGGAATTACATTGGGATGTGTAAGTCAAGTTTTATCCAACTTGAATTAATTTAAATTAATATAATACACATTTACTTTTAATCCATTTTTATTATTAATGTAAGTCTTAATATTTGTTTGTTAAATCAAATATCATTTTTTATTACAGGTTGTTTGCTAGTTGACTCATTTGCATAATTCACCAAACCATGGCATCATCACAATGATGTAATGATAATGAATATTCATTGTCAGACACTTGAAACTACAAACAGAAGTGACAGCACAGCAAGAGAAACAGCGCGGCCGAAGTGGTGGGTGGCACACAAGTTTCACAGCAGATTGATCCTAACCAGGTTGCCTATTTCCTAACAACTGTTTTAGTGAACACTGTAGTATTTATTTTTTATTTGAATGCTAAGGGCAGTTTTTATACACGCTGCCGATATGCGGCACCCTACTCCAATGGCAATTCGGTTGACTACACGATTTTGGGCTTGCTGCTCGTTCTTTGACCAGTGTTAGTGTCCATATTTTCTACTACATACAAGGTCCTTATCTTGTATATGTCCTTATATATGTTGTATCATCCTATTATGGTTATTGAAGTATCTTGTGTACCATTAACTGAATAATAATATAATGTACGATGTTAAAAGTACTTCACTATAAATATTTCATCCATGTCCTGGAAGAGATCCAGGGCAAGGATGAAATATTTATAGTAAGTACATTTAACATTGTACGTTATATCATTATTCAATTAAGGGCCAAAAAGGCTTACACAAGATACTTCATTTAAACAAATATATATTATAAGTCATGTTTATCATGAATATTCAACCCAATAGCACGGAGGAGTAACCCTCCATGCTACCAGAATGCTGTAGGAGAAGGCTGATTAATTCACATTGGGATATGTTATAGTCAAGTTTTATCCAGCTGATGTTGGTGTTGAATATGTATAAATACAAACCCTATGAAATAATGTTATTTAAGGGAGAATGAATTTAAATTATTATTACACATTTACTTTTAAACCATTTTTATTATTATGTAAGTTTTAATATTTGTTTGTTAAATCTAATATCATTTTTCTATTACAGACAGTTTGCTAGTTGACTCATTTGCATAATTCACAATGATGCAATAATGAATATTCATTATACTGCTGAAGTGACACCACAGCAAGAGCAACTTCTAGATAGCATATATACCTTTCAGCACAGCTGGCGGTAATGATTGACATGCAACTTTCACCAAGTCCAGAATCTGACAAACTTAATGGCCATATTTTCTATTATGTATGAGGGGCTTTATTCTATCATGTATAGTATATATATTTATATATATAATTGAGATTATATCATGGTGGGTTGATACAGAAGGTCTACATGCTCTGGAGCAAGTATTGAACTCATGCATTATTATTATTATTATTATGTTGTTCATGCATTAATGAAAATGGAAACTGCCAAAATGTAGCCCAGTTTCATATATTTGTACGCCAGAATGGCTCCTTTAAATCCTGGTTGTAGTTTGTGTATACTTCAAATAAGGAAATTAAATAATAATTGATTGATTGATGGAAAATTGTGATTGTGAAGAAACACACTTGAAATACAGGCGTTTAATGCTCTCGAAACAGAATATCTGGAAACATTCTCGTACATAATTAATGCAATGACATTTTACAATATACATAATATTCATATATTTATATATATTTATAGCAAGTTGATTAATAAATAACACTGGTGAATTGCATCATCATTTGTAGGAATTGTTAAAAATGTTTGATGAAAATACAAATTTTACAAATTTTATTTAATTATATTTATTTAATTTCTATAATTATAACACTGTAATGATGTTACATTTATGAAATGCAAGGTTGTGCATTATGCTGTAATTATGGTAGTAGCAACAGCAGTTGCTGTTACATTTTACTGTACTTGTTATATTACAGCAGACATGAAATCTTACTAGATTGTTGTACTACGTACAGTATAGGTATATGTATCAATGTTAAAATGTATGTTTTTTTATGAGATAGAGAAACTGCATTAGTACAGTATTTTATATTACATTATTTTTTATGTTAAAATGTATGTTGGTTAATGGGATAGTGAAACTGTCGCATATCCTGTTTTGGAGAATTATTAGCGAGAGAAACTGTAAATGAATTGGAACTTGCTGTGTGGTTTTTCTAACATCATAATAAAAGAAACAAGACAAAACCAACTAAAAAGATATGCAATATTTCACTCTTAGATAATATTGCAGGATGTAATTCAAAAGGATAGTACAGTACAGTAATCATACTGAAAGGTCCACTGACTCAGATATCTTATTTGTAAAACCTCGAGATGATGTAGTTTAGGTGATTTAATGCCAGTTAAATAAATGCCACAATACTAATTGTAAAAATTCACAGTATTCATTTTGAAAAGTAGACCATGTCTTCAAAGTATTAATTTCTGAATTCATAATCATTTTGTATTTGTTTGCATTCTTTGTATATATACGCTATTAGAATAGCTTTACTTTTCTGTTTGTATTGATACATTAAATACTTAGTTCTTTTCTGTTGTGTTGTGTTTTTCATCAATTTGCGTCCTACCTATTTGTTTGATTGGGAAGTACAAGAATTAGGATTATAATTCCTTACAATCTGTAGTTATGTACAGATTATTTAGTGATCTTAACCATTGCCTATTTCAATAGAAAGAAAATTTTACATTATATGAAATTACAAAACAAATGAAATTCACGATCCACTTAGAAAAATCCTGGATACACCTCTGCCTATATATAGTATTATTAGTATATTATGAAAATATATTAACTACACATCTAAGGAGCCGACAATCGTAGCAATACCGCACATATTTGAACCAATTTTTACGTGAAGGTAACCGTTCAATCCCCAGTCTTTTCCCCATGAGTTTCGAACAATATAGTACGGTATTTCACCTGTGGAGAGAAAAACAAACACATCTATAAGCAATGTACCACAACATGAATTCAACCTAGAAATGACATTGGCTTGGCCTACTTTTATATTGATGAGCTTTGTCCTATAGTGGGGGGTGCTTGATATCTGATGTCCGGTATATATTCAAATTTAATTAAGCTGTTACTTTGTTGGTTCAATTGCTTAGAATAAAAAAAAAAAATCAACATTTTTACCTGATTTGTCATAGCCAACAATTTGAACAGCGTGGTTGATATACATGGCTGAGCAATGGTGTTGAATCACGCCCTCTATATAATCTTGCCATGTTGATGCATCAACTGCGACTGCCAATGGTCCGTGGTTATATAGACTGGCTATCATATCATCCTCATGGTTTACCATACTAAAATAAATTTAAAAATGAATACCACAGTTTATCAATAACATATTAATATATAAATATCAATATGTACTAATAATACTATATACAGTATTCTTGAGAAAAATTGGCATAAAAATTCTTAATTTTACAGTATTTCATAACAGCATATACAGCTTTACTGAATACTTATTAATTTAAGTCAAACAATTTTTCACTGCCATTTTGGATTTGACTTTAGGCGAGTTAAACTGTATACTACATAAAATTGGTTAAAAATTCTGAATCCGCCCTGCTCCAATACTCTATCCATTTATGTTTATATAAGATAAATGGATAAAGTATTGGAGCAGGGCGGATTCAGAATTTATGTTTATATAAGATATCTACAGTACATCCATTCTTTCTGTACTACAGTATTGTTCTTTATTAAAATTATATTCAATTACGGTAGAACCAATCTTTTTTGACACCACTTTTAAGGGGACACTTTTTTAGGCAGTAGGCCTATACACAGTGGCGGATTTAGAGGGGGTGTAAATATTACATGCTAAATATTAAAAATCAACCATATATCAACTCTAATTAATGAAGGTGCCACAGGTTTAAGAGAGAATCTCCCCTTGCGCCCCTACCAGGGGCTCTTTCCTGAGACTGCCACTTAGTTCGGACATTCATGCCCCCTCTTTCTTGCGTGCTTAGATATGCCCCTGTATACAAGTGAAAGCATATCTTATAACACTACGGCCAACTCCTTTTTTTGGAGACACCCTATTAACGGGACACTTTCTTCGGTGCCAAAAGTGTCCCCTTAATTAGGGGTACTAAAATATTCCAAATATTGGCTTACAAATATCAAGATAACAAAACATTTTTTTTTTAAAATCATGAAGCACGTTCTATTAATATTATAGTAATTATAATGAAACAAAATAACATGTTTTGAAAGTGAGGAGCAGAGGTTAAGGGGACAACAATAAGGGAAGGGGGAAGGGTAACTTACTCAGTACACCAGTAGTCCATGATAGACAGAATTCCAGTACTGAAAAGAGGAAAATACAATATTTTCATACAACAACTGATTATGATGAATAGACATAATAAATATATTAGACGCATAATAATTGATTAATAATAATTCAAATCTCATTTACGAGTCGGATGGTCAAGCAGTTAAGGTACAGGCAGTGTACGGTCATAATATTAATGCTGGTTCGAGTAGCACGCTGGCTCTGGTGGTGATGCAAGTCTTCTCTGATGGTGTACTTGTCCACTGTTTAACAGTTTACCCTGTAGCCCAGACATGAACTCTGAGCGATTTGAGACAGTTTTTGTATAAAGGTCTATATAAATCCAACTACATTACATTACATTATGATTCTTGTTTCTACAAGATACCAAAATTCATCAGGCATAAATAAAATGTGTACACTCTCAGCAAGTTTGTAGCTACTGTATATACTCGCGTATAAGACGAACCTTTAAATAACAATGACCATCGAGTAGGTTTTTAGTAAACTTTTTCAAAATGTCAAACTCAAAGAGCTCAATCACCAAGCGCATAGAGGCTTTTTCGGATGATGCGCTATACAAATTCAACTATTATTATTATTGTACTTAATGTTGGTATGATTTAAATACTGGGAAATAAGATTTTGATTAATATTTTAAAAGCAAATAAAATTGTATTATTTCGAAGATTAGCCCAACATTTGGCTTTGTTTTAAGTCAGCTCGATGCAGTATGAAGACCATACAGAGCAGCACAAATTATGAATTCCAATGATGAAATACGGGTCGGCTTATTATATGCCCAACATACAAAAAACGTCCCAAAGCCTTCATAAAACCAAGGGTCGCCTTATACGCGAGTATATCCAGTAATAAACACAAAGGGATTCATTACATGTTTGAGTGTCATCTCATACTGATGATTTGCACTTAACTTTTCTTTAATTATAAATTTCTATTACAGTAACCTAATATAAACTCCTGCTGTAAATTGCCAAAAATTGTAAAATTGAGTTTTCTGGTTGGTAGTGGAAATAAAGATTATGAAATTACAAATGCACTACTCAAGTACTGTAGATATGTATAATGCCTCTATAACTATAAGTTTTTTTTTTGTACAATTACTGTAGTTGGAAAACAAATGAATAATATTTTAATAAATAATAATTCTTGTTCTATTTTTTATTTCAATTTGTAAAATTTCATATACTGTATAAGTAATCTTCCATTTTTGTTTTATTTTTTTTCATATCCTTTTTTATGTAATGTACCTTTTTGACTTATTTTGAATGTACATGTCCTTGTTTTATCTTTGAATGTATTTAATTGTTTTGACTGCTATTGTAATATCCAATCTATATACTATTTTATAATTGCAATAAAGATAAATTTGAATACATGCATTTTATATAATCTTATTACTATTTCTATTTATTATTATTATTATGAATTCATTTCTACTCCACTCCACCACCACCACACCCCCAATTACTCACATACCTACTGTTCCTACAGGTTCCGGTCTTTTCTTTGAAGGGGTAGTCTTTCTCATGAACTTCCTTGTACTTTGTGTCATTCATCCAAGCCAATGTTGTACAGATGTTACCGCCCTTACAACCATTGTCACCACCCCCTCGGGCACAATCTATTAACTGCTGCGTGCTCAAACTGATTAATTTCTTAGTTTTCAGAGCATTCTGGGTTTCCATACATTCAACGATAGAAAATGCCCTGTTAAATATTTTCAGTAAAAAGAAAAGTTTGATAATTAAAATTAAAGTTTAAATTGAAAACAAAAAAATATTCAGCCTTTAACTGCAATACGTGGATCATCTGCAGTTTATGTCTCCCTTACAACTCAACTAGATAAGCCGGGCTGTCACTGCGCGCGGCGGCCATGATTTTATGAAGAATGCAAGGCCACAACATGGTAATGGTAATGGTTGGAGACTTATATATCGCATAATACATGGTCTCTATGCGCTCGGGACTAGATGTTGCACTTTACAATAACTTTCTCCTCCCCTAAGGGTCACTTTCATCTGTCCACGACAGGGGCCGAATGAACCAGTACACCGGGGTAACCCCCTACTCATCTCGAAAGATGTACTGGGTTCTTTAAAGTGCACATGAGCATTTGTGTACACTGGGCCTACGGTTTATAGTC